AAAGTTTTTATATATTCAATAAATGCACTCCGTTAGACACTATTTTCTGCTCCGAAGCGTTTGGTGAATAAATGAGGGCGAAGAATCTTGTTCTTATAGCGAAAATAGTGTTAAGCAAAGTGTATCTATTGTTAATCGGTTTGAGAATAATTTTAATGGATTAATGAGATTTTTGCTACTAAAATGACATCAAACGCAACAGAAATCAGATAATTTTTAATTAAACTAATAATAAAAATTTTGATCACATATTTAACTAAAAATTATCCGGTTTATGTCGTGTTTGGTATCAGTTTAATCACAAAAAAAATATTAATTTATTAATATTATTTTTAAACAGGCATAATATAAACATTTTATTTTCTATGGTAATATGACACATATAATATATACTCGTGAAATACTATACTTATGTAAAGGAATAAGCCCCTCACATATAAGAGACTTCGAAATTCTTTGACGATACGTCATTTCGTTTGCTCTTTACTTGTTCTCGTTCTTGCTTTCGATAACATCGGAGATCTTTACTTATCTATAATAATTTATTTATAATATTTAAAAATCATATATAATAAAAACTGAAACATTTGTTTTATTTTAGAAAATGATTTTTTGGAAATAATTTTAATGTATTAATGACATTTTTAATTAAACTGACATCAAAAACACGATATAATTCGGATAATTTTTACTTAGATGTTTCTATGGTAATATGACACATATAATATATACTCGTGAAATACTATACTTATGTAAAGGAATAAGCCCCTCACATATAAGAGACTTCGAAATTCTTTGACGATACGTCATTTCGTTTGCTCTTTACTTGTTCTCGTTCTTGCTTTCGATAACATCGGAGATCTTTACTTATCTATAATAATTTATTTATAATATTTAAAAATCATATATAATAAAAACTGAAACATTTGTTTTATTTTAGAAAATGATTTTTTGGAAATAATTTTAATGTATTAATGACATTTTTAATTAAACTGACATCAAAAACACGATATAATTCGGATAATTTTTACTTAGATGAGGAAAAAAATATTTTATCTAATTTTTAAATTGATATCTAATTAAAATTTATCCGAATAATGTCGCGTTTTTTAATGTCATTTCATTATAATAACTTATTATCGCTGTCCGTAATATATACTAGAATGGCAAAACATCACGCACGGCTAACAAAACATTAATAAATCCATAATATTTCTTCGCAATTTTGATCCACAATTATATGGGTCTAGCACGGACGTACACCAATCGACCGTTTTACTATGGCACCAAAAAGTGAATCTGGCCATGTAGTTCCGTCGGTTCTAAAATGGATCTAGTTGACGCTACTATACCAGCTAGAAAAAGTGTCTTATGAAAAACGGCGGCGTGACCCCTCACAAGCATCTCTCTGGCTGCGGTCGAGAAGATGCTAGAGATGCTTCGAAGCATTGCATTAACCAATTAGAATAAAGAAATCTTTACTCTCTTTGCCCTGATTGGTCAATCAAACGCTTCGAAGCATTTCTAGCGTCTTTTCGACCGCAGCCGCTGTTCTTATATTTCTACCAATGCAGGAAACAGTTGTTGTCACAATTCCCTAGAGATCCAGCTTCTAGCTGACACGCGGCGTAACGCTGATCGACAGCCGCTAGATGTCGCGACGATCCCGATGCCGTTCAACTTCGTCTACTATTATATATATATAGCGGTCGATATCAAAAGAAGATTTCGCCTCTCGCCACGAAAACCGGTCACCGGTTAGTTCCCTACCCGCTTCCCGTTGCTATCTCAGTCATTGTCGTCTCTCGCCCACGGTAGACCAGGATCTTTTGCGAGGAAGCTAACCGAGGTAATTCTTATTCGCTCGTTTCTCAAACGTCCGCAACTTTTCGGTAATTCACAATCGGAATTATTGCATTTGCACGAACAAATGACGCGCCGGAAAGATCGCTCTACTTTAATTGTACGTTTTTTGCTCTCCGAAACTGGCGGCGCGACTTTATCAGACGACGCCTTGACGAAATTACGCACGATATATTACGTGGCAATATACAAGAAGATCCGTAAAAATGAATTATATAATTCGGAAGTTTCGCTTGCGTGCGAACAGCACAATATTTCGCGATTCCCTTTGCTCTATTTCGCAAGAATGGAGGTCGATCCGAGAGGGAGAGAGAGAGAGAGAGAGAGAGAGAGAGGGAAATACAGAAAATTCGAGAACATACGGCGTGAATCGCGTATTATGTTCGATGACTAACAAACCTCAAATCGTGCGGGTCGTACTAATCGAGTTCAAGAAATCGTCGCGCGATTATATTTCCTCATCTATAATAATATGGAACTTACAGAAATAATAATGAGGAAAACAGCAATCTTTTCTGCAACGAAATTTAAATAGTCACAAAAAATGCGTAAATAAATTGCATAATTGTATCTCGTATATTTTATATAAAATATTTGAAAAGAGAACTGGAAAGAAGTATAATCGTAGCACTATATATAGAGCCTAATTTTTGTTAACGTTTAGCATAGACACATTTTATTTAATTCAATCATTATTGTATATGTAAGATCTTTTTTGACAGAATCACTTTCTGAAAATTTTTATTAATGTATTTTTTCTATTAAATATTATCATATATAATATATTAAATATTACGAAACAATTGTAGAAAGAGAGACAGTGAGATATATACACATTGACCCAAAAATTATTTCGAACTCTGTCGAGATGAAGTTCCGTGTTCGACTCATTGCGTGAATCAACGCAATACGATGAACGATGATGTTAACTCGTTTAGTACACAAAGATTTATTAATCAGTTACTCACATCGCATATGTATTTATGCGCATCTCCATGAGATAATGTCGAACGAATTATCGAACAATAATTACGAGCATAGCCATATCTTGTCTTCCCTTGTTATTCTTTGAAAATATCCGTGTGCTATATCGTCGTTTGATTGAATCGAAATCTAATAAGAGTCCTAACAAGGACATAAAGACATAAATCAGCTATCGTAAACACATATAGAATTTGAAAGGTGTTTTCGTAGTAAATATGATTAGTCATATAATGTTCGCTCAAATATTAATAAAAGTTAAACGTCATTTTCTTTTTCTTTTTTTAAGTGAAAAGGAAAGAATGCAAAAGTACTTGTTTTGCAGTTAGTTAAATGCAGTTATTACGAGCTTGGTATATAACAAAGGAAACGGCTTCGTTTAAATGCGAGGTCGTTTGTGAGATTATTCCTGTGAGACTTCTCTCAGTACAGGCAAAGGTTTTCCTCGTACGAGATTTCTTTGTATCTGACGCTCTCCTTTACCAAGATCTTTTTTTTTTTTATTCGAAACACCTTTCGCCTCCTATAGTTCTTTTGACCGTTATATAATCTGAAGCTCCACCTGGTCTCCTGGTCCAATTGATCCCCTTGCTTTTCTTTATTCATCTCGCTATTCTCCCGTGAGAAAAATCGAATCCAATTTACAATATAAAATGCATTATTTAAGTATTCTTGAAATTTAAATTATTAAACCCTATTAATTTTTGTCACTAATTACGCGAAATAGGATATAAATTTTAATTAAAATTGGCGCATTAAATATATTACTGATTTTGAATATATTGATATATGAAATATTAAAGTAAAAATGTGTTAATAATTCCTAAAGTTCCCTCGAGAGAGATTTAGAGATGATTCTCTCTTTATCGAAATTGGTTTTTACATATTGTGAATTTGATAACTATTAATCCTTGTAAGTCTCACATTTTTTTGTTCTGTTCCTTGTCACATATGGGTCACAATGTCTTGTCGCAATTTTAGCTGTCTCAAAGGGCTTGAAAAAATCTACAAAAATTTATATACATTCCATCATATACAGAAAATGATCAAGTACAATAAAAAATAAATTTTGAACATTTTTTTTATCGATTAAGGCTTTTAAGATATTCTATTGTTAAAATATTGATAGGTTTAAAATGACTCATATGTGATCTTTAAGAGTTAACTCCAAATATACAACTACATAATTCTCTCAGTCATTTTCGTGCGTCATTAAATTTTTTCGCTCGAATTATTATTTATGTTCCATTCGTTCCATATCACAATCGATATTTTACATTTATTGACTTGTCATCAACGAAGATTACGGTGAGCATGTGATGTGTGCGGACTTAGTAATATATGGTAAATACCAATACAACAAACAGGCGTGAAGATCTTTACATAAGTTATCGCTGAATAAATATTTAGTTTAAACGGTTCTTGATCGAATGCTTATTATATGCGAACCTACTCGTGCTAAGTGCTGATTTAACACTGCCGATTACGAATTGTGTAACCGTTATATGTTTTCCATTGACAGAGAGAACATGATATTTTCGCTATAGTTTTCACAGAAAAACTTATCTTACAGAAACCTGCAAATATTCCACGTTCAATATCGCTTGGCAGAAACAGACTACAAAGATGTTATTCATATTCAAATTTTGTGTATAACTCCGTAATACCATCGGATTTACATTATCGCGTGAAAATATATGCGCAAATGTACGGATTCGTCGTGAAACTTATAGATTATTTTATTTAATAATTTATTTTCAATTAATAATTTTTGAAAATACATAGATAATTATGATTGGGTGTTATATATACTATAAAATTCATAGACCTGTAAAATTTATTTGTATTTTTCTAATTATAGTAAGCCAAACAGCAGCCATGCCTCAGATACAGAAACCAGCACCTCCTTTCTCCAATACCGCTGTTGTAAAAGGACAATTCAAGGATATTAGCCTCTCTGACTACAAGGGCAAATATGTTGTGCTCTTCTTCTACCCATTAGACTTGTAAGTATTATATATTATGATTGTATTTTTGTAGCCGTAAAAAAATTATATAATTCTCGACTGCTATACAAGAAGTCATATTGTATTGTGTACTTATTGTGTTAGTATTTAATCCAAGTATATTTAACTATTAACTGAAAGACATTTAAAAGAGATACATTGTGCATTCTAAAAGATTTATGTTTATAAAAACAGATATATATTTTAAAACTGCATTCTATTATAGTGATTATAACCATAATAATAATCATAAACATTTAAAAAATCAATATGCTATATTACATTGATTCCAATTAGCTGATGATTGAGAGATTTTTAATAAAGAAATATCATTTGTGTATGTGTGTGAATTTTAAAAGATTTACAAGAAATAAAGTCTTAAAAGCACATATTGTTAACTTATCTTAAAGATTTTGTATAACAGATAGTCAGTTACACAATACATTATTTAGTTACACAATATCAGATTGACTATCGCGAGCTATAATTTACGATATAATTATTTGACCACAGCACTTTCGTATGCCCGACCGAGATTATTGCTTTCTCCGACCGCGTGAAAGAATTCAACGATATCAACTGTGAGGTGATCGCCGCATCCACCGATTCTCACTTTAGCCATCTCGCATGGGTGAATACGCCACGCAAACAAGGTGGTCTCGGCGAAATGAACATTCCTCTGTTGGCGGACAAGAGCAGCAAGATCGCCCGCGATTACGGCGTACTCGACGAGGATACGGGAATTCCATTCCGTGGCCTTTTCATCATCGATGATAAGCAGATTTTGCGTCAAATCACTGTGAACGATTTACCTGTCGGAAGGTGAAGCTCTTGCTCGATTATTAACATAAATAAATATACAAAAGCTTACTTTGCGTCACAATAATGTCATATAATATAGGTTCTCAAGAGAGACTTAGAAATCCAGCAAGTTTTGCATTTTTATTTAACGCGCTAAAAAGAATTAAATGCACTAATCTATTTAATGATTGCGTGACTTTTGATAACATTGAATGCGATTGTATTACCAATAGTACTAACAATAATCTTATCGCGTTACTAATTGCAGATCCGTGGACGAAACTCTACGCTTGGTTCAAGCGTTCCAATACACTGACAAGTATGGCGAAGTTTGCCCGGCCGGCTGGAAACCCGGCAAGAAGGCCATGAAGCCTGACGTCGTTGGCTCAAAGGAATACTTCAAGGATCAATAAAATATCAGCGGACAATAAAATATCATACAATATTTCTTCATACATCCTGTTAAATATACTTATGTGTGTGCGTTTTATACTCTTTCGCCGCGTAATTTTGCAATTTGAAGCGTCTACACTTCCGTTTTTACTTAGTATAACTAGGTATATATTGTCGAAATAGCACACATTGAAATATTCATTTCTAGTTTAATAAATGGGTTTATTTTCTACATATTTTAAAACTATTTCACCATTTCGCATAACATTATGAATGACGAATTATCTGATAATGATATATGTGCAAAAGTACACGTATTTAGCGATATAAATCAGCTGTGATAATGAATATCGATGCGATTAGAAAACATCTGACAACGAGCTTAGCAAAAATTTCAATATCGAACGATCAAAACGATATCATTGAGTCTGTGCGAAGTTCAAATATTAGAAATGTCATCTTATTTTTAATGTGTATTAGCAGTTGTAATTATCAGTATTTCTCTTCTTTTTTATCTTTACACTATAACTAATATTTTAGCCTAAAGATTTTTGTGAATGTTTCTCGAGCAAACAAATCGTAGGACAAACTTAACTTTGTTCTCAATATTTACTTAATAACCTATTTTCCGGTGAATTATTTTTTCATTTGTGATAAAATCATCACTATTCTTTCACGTCATGAGTGACGATTGCGAAACTGCAATAGCTGAAACAGGTAAGGAACGAAATTTGGCAAAATTATATACATTCTTCTAAGAAAGAAGAATTATCACTATTATATCATAACAAAAACATCAATATGACAATTAATATATCAATTTCAAATAATTTTAAAAGAGCAAAGTTCTTAATTTATGAAAATATCTATAAATACGATTATGCATCTTAAATTTAATAAATTTAATACAGGATGGGGTGTTTGGCATTACTTCGTCGTCGCATTATGCGGCTTGGTATCGTTTGCAGAAGCGAGCACTTCTTTGACTGTACCGATTGTAGTACCGCTAATAGAATGTGATCTAAAGCTTAATAGAGATCAGGCCATCATGCCTGTCGCTACCTCCAGTTTCGGTATATACTTCTAACAAAAAATATTAATATATTATCTTACTGAACATTGAAATATTAAGTACTAATTGAATTATAAATTATTCTATTAAATTTTATATTCGTATACACCTACAATATACAAAATGAGAAATATTTACAGAATATATCGTAAAAGATAATATCTCGCATGTATGCAGAATTTATATATCTCACAAAGATAGATTAAAGCGTATTTATTGTAAGCGTATATAGTTTGTTGCATGCAATGCATTATTTTAATTTATTACGCATTTATCGCTTAGGGATGGCAATAGGTGCTTTCCTGTTTGGATCTATATCGGACCTTGTCGGTCGTAAAAAATCAATCTCGGTTACTATGGGCATCGTGTTTTGCGCCTCGACTACTCTAGCCTTCGCGCAAACTAATTTTTTGATATACTTATCAGTATTCATGTTGGGACTAGGGTAAGTTTTTCTATCTGTCGTATCGCACATAACAAAAACGATTGATACAATCTGATAAAATGCGACATCAATAAAATTGTGAGACGTTTAGAGAATATTTCTTAAGCTACTTCTTTTTTATTACATCTAATATTATTTTACATTTGTTTATCATCTTTTGTTACAAGAAATAACTTTTAAATATTTTGTTAAGAAAAGATATATCTGTTTTGCAATTGTGATATTATCTGAAAAAGCGGACATACTACGAAGGCAATACGCAAAAGTACAGATTATGTATTCGATGTTATATGACATTGAAACTACGCATTCATCTAATTCACACACGTGTGGGTATAAGTAATTGCGTCATCATCCGACATATAATTGATGTTCGTAGAGTGGCCGGTAACAATATCGTCCTCAGAGTATATCTGATCGAATGCCTACCGATGAGAAAGAGAGGAACTTGTTTAGCAATAATCGACATGTTCTGGATAGTCGGCTACCTATCAGCTTTAGGTAACCGAATGTGTGTATATCTTGTCTGATTTTGCAAAAAAATGCTTCATTTTTTTATTAATATGTTCTTCGATTTAATTATATACAATTCACGATTTTGTCATTAAGTATTTTTAATATCAAAATTTTATCTTTAATTTTTTAATCAAAATTTCAAAGAATGTCAGATTCATGAAATGTACTTTCCATACTTTTATAAATTACACGTTTATAAATGGCTCTTATTTTTTTTGCAACTTTAAAATTCTATTTAAAAATCTATATAACTTTATACAATTCGAAGTATTAGAAAGATTTCATGTATAAGCCAATTATTATAAAAGCAAGGGCGATCAATTAATCTATGTTTAATTCTATTTTCTAATTAGAGTTATTCAAAGATCCTAATGTGTTCAATATGTGCGAAAACTATAGCTTTACAAGAATTAACGCTAAGGAAAAGATACTTAATAAATTTTTAATTTTTTTTTTTTTTTACGTAAACTGATATTTACGTTTGCTTGATGAACAATTTGAAAAGGTGTTTCCTGGTCCTTGATGCCGTCCGTTATACGCATGCTAGGCAAGCAATTCCGTACGAGTTCCTGGCGAGTCCTCGCCGCTCTCTGCGGTATGCCGAGCCTGATGATCGCTTGCACCTCTGGTCTCCTTCCGCTGAGTCCTCGACACTTGCTGTACCATCGACGTCCGACGCAAGCGCTTGCGGTGCTCCGACAGATGTACGCCATCAATAATTCGAAACACGCCGATACCTACCCGGTACGGCGATCCAACGCGACTCCGTCGAGGAGATCTCGTTCTTTCCTTACCCGTTCAAATCTTTGTCCGCTATTCATGAGTTCTAAAAGATCCGTGATACAAAATATCGAATCGATTCAAAAGTATATTTGAAAAAAAATATATGTTTTGCTTTACGTAAAAAGAGATGAAAAGAACGCATGAATAGCAAATACGAGGTAAAACTTGATGATCCGAGATTAATAAATAGCCATGGAAAAATAATATTTGTAGCTGATTAAAAAAAAATAATGAAAATTTTTTGTGTTTTTGATTTAGATCAGGAATCTAGAAGGCTGCGTACGCCCAGACGACGATACCGAAGATGACAGTATTTCAAAGTACTTTACGAAAACTTGGGAACGCATTCACAGAATACACAAGCCTCCGTATAAGTGCGTGACACTGTGCGGGATACTAGCGTGTCTTCTACACTTTCCCGGGTAATAAAGGATGTTTTCCTCCGTAAAGCTTTCTCGCATCTCTCGCATCACTCCGACTATTGTTCTCGCGTGATTGCGAAGAGAATCATGAGGACGATGTTTAAGATTCGCTTGGCTCGCTCTGTGGAATACGCACGTGCTCCAGGAAATGGAAAGAGACCATGTCGTGAGTGGAAACGACACGTGTAACGTCCGTGTCCAGAACCTGGCATTAGGTTTTTTGCGAAGTTGCGACGAAGTGAACGAGGCTCGTTTCGGGCTGCTGTTGCTGGTATCGCTGGGCTACATGCTGGGAGAAATGTTGCTCGTTATCGGAATTGATGCCATTGGCAGAAGACCGTATTTAAGTGAGTACCTAAGAACAGCCTTTTTTTCTCTTTATTCTACGAGATCATTAAATGTTTTAAAGAGAAAATTCTACATCCCCCTTATTTAAAACAATTTTTTTAACTTTTTTCTTCTATTTTCTAGGATATTAAAATTAACTTAACTATATATTTATGATATTCTAAACTCTTTAAAAGATTATATTTGTAAAAGAATCTTTTTCTAATTATTTTTATAGTATCTTCAGGATTGGTGGGTGGTGTGGTCTCGCTCATACTTATTTTCCGGCTGTTTCACACAATTCGTGTAATTCTGTCGTCGATTTTTCTGGCCGCTTACGCTATCGGGCGCACAACGACGTCGGTTTTGCTGCTGGAGAATTATCCCACCGCTCTGAGGTAGATCGTACAAAACGGAACAGTCAGCACACGTCTGGCTAATCTTAGATCATCAGACGCATTTTCGTAAATCAAGTATCTGCGAACGCGACGTATAAACTCGTAATTTCCGACGTTGGTATTTCAGAGGCACGGCGATGGGTCTGATGAGAGTGCTTCCACATTTGGCGCTTTTCGCGACGCAACTCTTCCTAAGGACGACTTGCCTGCTAAGTATAATCGTCGCGTCTGTTATCTTAATAGGTACGAAAAAAACGATTATTTTATCTGTTTGATTAATCATCGCTGAGTATTAAATATCTCGCAGGTGCGGCCGCGGTAATGCTACCAGTGCCGGATTTAACCAGATTACCGATGAAGGAATAAGTCAAACTTCCAAAGACATATATTATATATATATGACGATTTATTTCCATTGTATTTTTCATGAATAAAATTTTATTTTAAGCGTGCATTTTCTTTTCCTAAGTATTCATTTAATATTCTGTCGTATTATGTATAGATAAAAAAAAAAAATTTGCTATTCTGTCACTCTTGTGATAAATATGCATTCTCTAAGATGTATTTTTCTGCGATTGCTACACAGTTTTTTGACAAGAAAATTTATATTTTTTTTGTTGAAAAATATGCTGGTTAAAATTTTTTTGTTAAATATTTAACATATTTGTGTGTTAATTTAATTATTTAACATATTGCTGTTGTGTTAATTGAACCCAAATGTTAAGTTTTTAAAACAACACAATGTGCACATATTTTTAATTTTACACAATAAATATGTTCCGTATTATTAGTAACAAGATTTATCTGTTAAAATTTACAGAAAAAAAATGTTGCTTTTATTTTATAAGTGAGAATGAGGCCGTCAATAACTTTCTTTTCCAAGTTATTTTATCATTAAAAATATGTTGATTTTACACAAAATTTCTTTCAAATTACTATAAAGTTTGAATTTATTTTGTGTTGAAATATTAATATAGTACTGATGTCACCATTTAAAAAATTTTATCCATATTATGTTAAATTAACACAAAAATTTGTGTGGGCCGTTTGGGACATGCGATATATGTTAAATTTAAGTCAAATTTTCCAACTATGTAGGTTTCTGCATCGTAAAAATATCATAACGGCGAAAGTAGCATGACGAGCTTTATGATCGGTAGCGTCATTCCGCGACGCTTATAAATAAGGGCCGAACGGACGCGTCTTCCCGCCGCCTTTCCATCTATTTTCGAGACGGGAACAGGAAGAAAGCTCGACGTGGACGAGCGAACAGTCGCGCATGCCCGACTCTCGCCTCGACGGCGTCGCGACGCGCCTCTGCATCTCGCGCATATATGCATGCACACATACACACATATACGCCGTTGTGTATTCATCGTGGATACTAACGGCGAATGCTCGTCACCGAAAATAATCGCGCACTATCGCCGAAGTCTCGAAACGCGCGGTGTCCGACCAGCTTTTCTCGCTTTCGTCGCGAAGAAGCGACCTCGCGAGGTCACACGAACGGATTCACATCTCGCTTCGTTCGAGGCCAAATCTCTTGAGAATAAATCTCGATCGATCGTATCGAGAATAAAAATTTTACTGCATTTTATTTCAAAAGCGGCAATCGAATATAAAAATAAATTAAAATCGTTTTGGTGAATATAATTGTGATCGACTTGGAGAAGCGCTCTGTGTCAAGAAAAATAGTCTCTTCTAGTAATGTTGATGTACGTGAATAGATGTGATGGAAAGTATTAGATTTAAGCTTGCATTGAAAGAAAGGTATATATTCTGTGACTAAATAAATTTTTATTTAGTAAGAATTAAAGAGTGGAAACAATTAAAATAAACATTTTTTCTTTCATATCTGGATAAAGCGAGATGAAAGAAATTTGAGTGGATCATAACAAAGAAAGTGCTCTCCAAAAGCAGAAGAAAGTTGTGATTCTTATAAATGAGCACATAAACAGGCGAATTAATACAATTAATTTTATACGACAGCGATATGAAAACAAACTACATGAATGAATAAATAATGGAAAAAGTAATGGAGCGATCGTATAAAGACTAATAAAAGCGTAAAAGTGCAATCATGATGAAAATTTTTATGGTCTCGCAAATAAATGAAGCAGAAGATTAAGATTCCTTTGTACGCTCTTTTCTAGCTCTTGCAGCAAGAAGCTAAAGTGCGGAGAAACGCATTTGAAACGCGCGTTTCCTTTTCATAATATTTATACGATCGAATGTTTATGAAATGAAGCAACACTTTGCTTGCGCCATCAATTTCTAGATTGCATTTGCATCTATCGAAGCGTCTACAAACAAATCCGACAAGAGGCAATTATTATCGAACAAAGATATTCAGACCTCTTTGAATAAACTAGAGTAAACGAAACCAGCACTAGTGGCATAAGAAGAAATTTTACAGTGTAAAATTTTCGTTTTTATTCAAAAATATTTAATACGCATGGCTTAATGAAGTGAAGAAAGTCTTTGATCACTAACAAGATAGATAAATCAATATCAAAATTCCATATACGATTTCCTTTTTACCTTGTATCAAGAAAAAAATATGAAAAAAATAAAAATAGGAAAACTTAGGAAAATATAAAAACGCAGGAAAAAACTGATGCAAGTCACACATTTTTTATGAATACCACAACCGCATTATAGCGTGCATGTGAGGATGTGACAACATCATTAAATTTTCATAATTATCATCTGTTGAAAAAATATTAGTCGTTACGTTCCGTATACAATAATTTAGACTTCGCATCTCTTCATCCAGACTATTCAATGGCGGAGGATAATTTCCGGTCGGCCGAGGAATTCGGCGCGCCCGAAGTCGAGAGGAAGCTCGACAGGCCGAGCCGCTCGCGAGATCAAAGAGGAGCTGTCAAGGTCAAGGACAAGCCCGAGGATACTCGACTTCCGACCCCGCCCCCGGATCCACAGTGTCTGCCGATCGCGCGGGATCGCACGGGAGTGACGTCTCGCGGTCCCGAGGAGGAAGAAGAGGATCTCGCGACTTATCTCAGCGAGCTCGGCGCCTCACCGTTCGAAGGCCATTCGTTCGACTACGATACCACACCGAATTTGAGAACTTCGGCGATGGGGGGCGACGCGGCCTCCTTCACCGAGGAGGCGTTCGAGCACCTGGACCGGCTGTGCGCGTTGACAGAGCAGATCTTGGATCTGCGTGATCGCAGCTCCAAGTTCTTCCGGCGCGTGCGAGGACTGGAGCGCGCCAAGGTGCAGAGAAACGCTGATCGCCGGCTGGAGATTGCATTGACGAACAATGAGGAGGAACTGCTCCGCGATTTCACTGACGAAGACACCGGTTTCGCGGAGTCGCTGTTAGACGCTATGCTGTCGAATTGTCGGGACGCCACGTCGACGCCGAGACGCGAACGTTTGAGCGTGCGATCGCCCTCGTCGTCGAGACAGCGAAGCCGATCGCTCGCGCTGGCCGAGCAGAATCTCGCCTCGAACCTGGTCGAGCGGGCGGCCGAGGCGGGAGATAAACGAGGCACATTCGTGAGAAATGCGAGTCGTAACGGCGGCCCGAAAGTAAGCAAATGGACCAGGGTGAAGGCGGCCTTCAAATGGGAACGCGCGTGCACCAACGATCTCGCGGATATCGCGGAATCGTCCACGCCGACGACGAGGTATCTGAGGATCCCGGACGCGATCACCGTCGGAAATTGGAACGCCGGACCGACGCTGTCGTCCTGTACCAGCGAAGTCTCCAGCCCGTCCACGCCGATCGGCAGAGTATCATCTGCGTCGTCGTCCAACGAGGAAGTGTTTGATGGTGAGAATATATCTTTAGTTTTTTAATGTCTTTTTATATTGCATATTATACATTTATTAATTTGATGACAATTTGTCTCAAGATCAAAATTTCAAGACAAAACTAATTACGCAATTATTTAATATTGAGCATTCAGGATAACTGCAAATTAAACACTGGAATTGTGAATTGATAAATTTTGATTTTTTTGATAATATAGTTATTAATAAATGTTTGTTTAACAAAAAATTAGCAAGATATTCTTAATATTGAAAAAAAATTTTTTAATTTTTATAAATATGAATCTGTTTAAAATTTAATTATAACAATTAAAAAATTTGATATAGTTTAATAATACAATATACTCTGTATCTTTTATAATCTTATATAAAAAATTCATAATTATCCATGTGTCTATAACAGAAAGTTATATACTTTGATTATTATATATTTTTCTAGATTCGCGCAAAAATATTGTAAACTACCCGGATCGACAATTGCCACTAGTGAAAGATGACAGAAAGAAGGACGATCTAGATCGTCCGGCTCGATCACTTGATCGCGATACTCTTATAACAGAGAGTGCCGGTTCCGTAGAATCTCCGAGTGAGGTAACATCTGTTTTATATCAAGACGGGAAAGAGAGCATGTGTGATTTAAACATATGATGCGTGTACGTTAAGATTTAAAAACATAATTTTTCTTCGCAAATGTGTAAACTTTATTCTATATTTTCGGTCAACTCTGCTTCATTGCGTCTAGCAACCGTTCGCGTTATAAGAGCAACATCGATAAGAACCCTCCGCGAAATTCCTTTCTCGCAACACACATATACACAAGTGCCGACTTAAAAATATCCACGGCAACGCGTGCGTGCCGCGCACGGCCGCGCCCGTTGAATTTCTTTGATCAACGCATAGCGAGCGTGTCCATTAACGGACGTTGTCCCATTCTGAAACTCGAGTCTTTTTGGGACAATCCTTTGGCTGTGTCCTGTTAAAATTGCATTTGTAACACTGAGAGGTGTCTCGTTGTTATTAATTATTTCAGTCTCTTTAAACGAGAACAAAGAAATCGTTTTCTCTAACGTAGTTAAAATAACGTGATGCGCTTTAAAAATCTTACGTTAGCGTTATGATATATTCCGTTCTCTCTTCTTTCATGTCATGGAAATTCTTCTCTCCTTTGGCGTATATTACATGCATTTAATAATAATTATTTATTATTATAATAATTGTGAAGTGGAGGGGGGAAGATTTTTTAATTTTGCTTATTATTACACAAAATTAATTCTTTTGCTTATTCTTAACGATAGGTAAATCGTAGTAAACCGCTAATTCGCATTATATCGGATGCGGATGCAACGATGCACGCTGCAAGCGGAGGCGGGAGGGATTCGGAAGTACCACCAAAGAGACCGACGCCGATTCTAACGATCACGATACCGTCGAACGAGGAGGAAATCAGAAGCTTATCCTCCCCAGAATCGATATCTCCTCTTCCCTCGAGCACGCAGGATTCCGGTGGAAGTTCGCCGCAACATCCCAAGATGCGCCAGGATACATCGAGTCCGAGGGAATTTAAACAGGAATTTAGACAGGTTGGACAAGTGGCGTTTGGCATGTGTCTAATGTTCGAGTATATTGAACGACAATGCATTTTCAATACTGTTGCCGTCATCCTTAAATATAGATCCGATCGTCACGCTTGGGGGAAGCCAATTTCACAATAATGCTCATTAAAAATAAAAGTGAAGTTTCTTTTCTTTGTCCTTAACGTCTTTCAAGATACGTCACCACGGAACTTGAATGAGACACGCCGTATTTCGTCTACGAAGAATGCGCTGTAAATAAGACAGGGCATTCTAAATTCCGCAAAGATGCCTTTCCTCTTGCCAAATGATTACATTGCACATAACTTCGCCTCGCGCATACAGATAATGTTTGGTTCCAGCATTCGACGATCGAGGAAGCGGTAACGCAAGCGCCAAAGATACAGCGACAAGATTCGAAATGGAACAAGGTCAGACGTGCTTTTCTGACAAATGCCACCTTCAGCGTTCCACCGAGCCCGGTCAGAATGGTCGCGGCGCAATCATTCACGAACGATGGTGAGAGTTTAATGTGAAGCTTCCTAAAATGTCGCCTCTAATATATATATATATATATATTGTAAACTATATACTAATAAAATAAAACATTATAGTAATACAAAAAGATCTCCTAGCATAAAAAAGCTTATTATATCAATCGCAGAAAAATATGTACATTACTATATTATATTCTTTCTATTTTAATTAAACATTTTATCAAGAATCAGTAAAAGTTTTGCATCTTTAATATATATATATATGGATTCGGGGTCCTGATTTTAATAGATTTTAATAGATTTTAATAGATTTTATTACATCATAACAAACTCTTTTATTCTAAAAAAAAATCTTGATTATATAAATCTTTATATAGAATACTTTAAATAAATACTATATACACATATCTAAAGACACACACACACATACGAAGATGAATAAAATAGTTCTCTCGTACATCTATTTTCAAAATAGAGGTAAACATACGGAACAATGAATCTGAGGAAGAGAGTTTTGAATTATTCCAATCTTAAAATCGTTTGCCACTTTTTCTCTTACAATTTTCAATTTTCACGATTATATTTCTCGAGTTTCTTCAACTAAATCATTTATGATTTTTGTTGTCCAGTTTCATATCTTTCTCGTTACTTGTTTGACCTCTTCAGTTGAACGATGCATCTATCCAAGTATTTTACCAATTCGGCAGCTTTCTTACGGTTCACTTCTATCACTTCCTGTGCTGTCATCTCGTGTGCCTTCATGACTGTATCGCGAAATTTCATGATTTCTTCGAGCTTGTGATATACTTCTTCGTTCATTTGATCGAGCTTTTTTGTCGCTTCGTCCAACTGTTTTTTCGCGCATTCCGTGAGATTGGAAGGAACATTGTGCTTGCGGCACGCGACGAGATTCCTCTGTGCACATTCGTTGCACAGGGACACGTCGTTCCGCAGATTCTTTAGCATGTACATTATGCGTTTCGCATTTGGAGCGATTGCTCGTTCTAAAGCGTCGAAAGATCGCCTTATCTCGTCGTTGAGCAGCAACGTCTCCTTTCGCATCCAGCTGCCATACGAGACGTCTAATCTGGTCAGTTCGTCGAGTTTTCCCGAAGTTGCCTTGAAAAACGTCTCCATTTGAATCGCACGAGCGGCTTTGCTGCTCTTCAAACTACTCTCCACATCGCTCGCGATTGATCGCGATTCGTTCTCCATGAATTTCACTAAACTTTCAATACGTGACTTTAACGATTGTCGCGCCTTCAAATAATCATCGCTGGCTGTTGTTACGTCGCACTAAAATTTATTATTACATTCATTATGAAATTACATTAAAATGAAAAAATAAGCCATCATGTATTATATATTTCGAATTGATTTTTAAAAGATTCTATTTTTTTTTAAAACTTTGTACCAAATTACTATAATTATAATTTTAATAATTAAATATCTATTATTACCTCCATATCTCTTAAATTTCGGTAATTTAAGATATTGATTGAATTTTTTCAACAAATAATCAGATATAAATCATTGAGGATTTTATACATAGTACAATATGATATGAATGAAATGCTCAATATGCATTTAATTTATCTATATAATTTTACTAAAAAATTTAAAAACGTCTAGTAAAAAGAAATGTAAATTAAATAATTCGTAATTTACTTTCTTAAGTTTAGGTTTGGAGAATAACTTTTTACAGCATAATTGTGCAAACGATGGCTTAGGACATTGCTTAAGCTTCTTTTGATATTGTACGAGGGTTAGATGATTTTCGCTTTCCAACCGATTAATAAACTTGTCATCTTTTAATATTTTCTTACTGAAGCGAAAAGCGGACAATGAATTTTTCGCGATGTTGTTTAGAATTTGGCGTCCTACTTGAAAATTTTGCGGCAACATGCCGAATGAAACTTACATGTATGTCACATGTTGCTAATTAAGACGAGATAAAAAGAATCAACAAACAAAAGACACATCGAAAGATCGCATTTCGAGTCAGAAGATTTTTCTTCTTTTAAATATTTAGAATTTTTTAATTGCGGTTTATTAAATAATATATAGCGTAAGAAAATAAATGGCACACGTATAGCGCATACTTTATAATATTCTAATATTATTTATTGCAAAAATAATAAGATTCTCGAAGATATAGAGATTTTTGTTAATACATAATTCATGAGTTTATCGGGCAAACGCTTTTCTTTATTTTCCTTTATCTCTTTTGCATTCTCATTATTTCGTGCTTCTCATTGCTACGTTAAATGTCTTTATTACAAACGCAGATACGCGCCGAGCTCGCAGCTGTAGCGAAAGCGTCGAGGATCTCGGTAAAACCGTTACAGGTATCAGCAGCAACTACAACAACAACAATAATAACCACTGTCGGGAGCGGGAAACGCGCAGGGATTATCAGGCATTGCGGGAGAAGTTCGGTCCCGAGTTCCACCGGAAGCTGGTCGAGTGGGAGCGCCTGAAGAGCGCGCGAAATGCTCGTGATGGTCTGCCGTTGAACGAGGAACGGCTGGCGCCCGAGTTCCGGAAGAAGCTACAGGATTGGAAGCGAACGAGGAAGGGCCGACGATCCGGTGCGGCCATCGAGCAGCAACGCGTCAATCGTCGACGGTTGACTGACTGGCAACTCTGGCGCTCCTCCTCATCAAAACCCGAACTCAGGTTTTATAATGTATGTTGATCTTGCGAGCAATCGCGTAAAATTATGAGTACCTCGAGATATAATGAAAGACAAGGCTGCGGGAAAAAACGATACTGTCCACAGAAGATTGTCTTTCAAAAGAGATATATGTATATAAAACGACTTATTACTTAAATATAAAAATGATCTTTTTGTCATAATTATAACAGCTTTTTAATTATTTGATAGATCTTTCGAGAATCTTTACAACTAAAAATTTAAATGATCAAAGAATCTGTCGTATCACAATCGAAACGAAATCAAGAAAAAGAGACATAAGCACAAATGAAAAAAAAATGTATGCCTTTTTTCCAACAACTATCTTAATTCCGATTCGCAATATTTCTCTCTGAATGTTTCTTCAACATTTTTTACACGATAGAAAAATCAAAACTCAATCGGTTCGCGCGGAAGCTGCGCGAGTATCGGTAGCGCGGGGAGTTTTGGCAGCGATGGAAAACAGCATCTCTGCGAGGATTTCATTAAGCGGATGGAGGCGTGGAGGAGGATGAGCGAGGCCGCGTGTCGAAGCAGCGAGACACCGAAATCGCCTACGAATCGTGTCACATTCGATACCATCGACGAAACAGAATTTCTCGCTTTAGAAAAGCTGCTGTTGCTATTTGGACAAAAGATCAGGAAAGAACGTCGTGAGAGCGACGCGAGACAACTGAATGATTGCTTTGACGGCGACTCGAGGTATAGAAATTTAAATTGTGTGAATAATGACTGAATATTTTTTAAATGCAATATTTTTTTTAAATATAAAAAAATAATAAAAACGAATAGAGAATAGTGTGTGTGGAAACTGTTAATTATTAAGCTTTTTAATTGATTCACACAAAGATTCATGGCTATGTCTCGAGGCGTAAATTGTGGCAACGAAGTGTTGATTCGCACATCCGTCGGATCTTACCGTTTCGAGGGCATATCCCGAGAATTCACAAGGAAATTATACGATTGGGAGAAGTATCGCGGAATATCACCCAGATCCTCCACGTTCCGTCTGTTGGGCCCAGGTTATACGCCGTTCACGCAAAATTTGGACGGAGCTAGGTTGACAGAGTCACCAAATACGACGGGTAAGATTAAATAATTTCTTCAGAAATTCTTCTCGGTATTTTCTAAAACAGAATAATATTTATTAGGATTTATTGTTATTATACAATGTCACAATTACACAAATCGTAGGAAAGAATCGTGCATTCCGCTGGACCCTAAAAAGATCCAAGTCTGACGGCAGTGTCTTCGAAGGCAGTCTTCGCGACGAATCGTTCACAGTGCGTCGATCCACGAGTCTCCAATCTTTAATCTCTACAGACAAGCTCGAAGATGACACTCGAATAAACAGTTTACCAGTTTCTAGTAAATATACTATTTTACGAATGATTTTTTCGAAATATACCTTTAACATTTCAACACGCTCAACAGTTGTATATGTTGCAATTCTATTTTTAGACATAACTATATATCTCTGGCTATTTTTCTTATCTGATTTCATAATTTATTTTACTTTTATTTACATCTTAGTTTATTACGTTTTATACTTTTATTCACGTTTCGTCAAAATTATGATTACTCTTTATTATAACATAATTCTTCATTAATTACTAATAATTTATTTATTAAATAATTTAATAAACAATTTATTTATATAATTAATAATTTTTAATATACTTTAAGTGATAATATTAATTTTTTCTTTGCATAAATTTAAACACTTTGTTAAATCTTTCTTAATTTCAAATTCGCAATGTTTCTTGCTATTATTATTTAGTATTTGTATTTTTATACAAATGCTATAATTTTGTAATTTTTTAGATTATTTTATTATATATGTCCACAACACACTATATTTGTAATTAATTTATATTCATTTACACTTTGCCAAAAAAAGATATTATGCATCAATAAGTGAATAATAATAAAAATTTATTGTCTTTGTTACAGATAATTCGCAGGGGATGAAGGACCCCTCGGAAGACATTGCTGTTGAGGATTCCGAGCCGGAGGCGATGATCGTCGACATCGAGGACGTTATCGAGGAGACCGCCAGTCCTTTGACCGGGGTACAACCCCATCAGACGCCAGTGTACTCCGTCGCGGCTAGCGAAACCACCAGCATCGCCGTCCCTCTCGGTACAGTCACATCCAGCCACGAGCCGTCACCGGTGTTTTTGGTCGAGGCTGAAGATGATGAAAATGGCAAACCATGGAGAAAGTGGATCGGTCCGGAAACTCGCTCAAGCGAGAACAGTCCGAGTTCGAAACGCTATTCGTTATCCGAGGACTGGCGCAAGAGAGCGACATTTTTGGATGAAGATAAACCGAGCTGGGAGCGACCGTGCGAGGGAGACAACAAAGAGAATCAAGGATCCACAGACCGGACCGAGAAAACACGCTGTTCGATCCCAGATTTTGACGACTCTGTAAAATCCGACCAATCGATTGAATGGAATCGAAATACTTGGGACGAATCGTGCGACGAAGCGAATAGGTAAGTCAAATTATTTCTCCAAAAAGTTATCGCTTTTTTTCACGATTATGTAGAATCAATGATATATTTTCAGAGACTCGATTGCACTTGAATTGTCTCTTATACCGATCTACGAGAGTAAAAACGATACGAAGAAACAAGAGCCTTCTTTCGGTAAGACATTTCTCAAATATATCTTAAATATATCAAAAAATCTTTTTTTAGATACTAGATTAAATATTTCATTGCCAGAGTTATTTCCTTTTTTTTTTTAATTTTTATAATATCTTGTAAATCGTGATTTTTTTACTTTTTCTTTATTTTTCGTTGTCTTGTTTTAGAAAATGACAACCCCGAATCTGCGTACTTTGCGAATAATTTGGAAACTACATCGACGACCTGGAATGCGGAAGAATTAATGGTACATTTAGATAATTTAATCTTGCTTTAACGTATTAATTTCATCGTTGTCATTTATCTAGTTTTAATATTTTTCAAAGCATGAACGTGTAATGAAAAAAGGAATAAGTTGTTTACAAAAAATACTCTTTAGCAATCGTTAAAATTTGCGAGATGCTCGAAATTTGTTGAAGCTCAAACTTTATGGAAAAGTAAGTTTTATCATAGCGCAATTGAAATTAGCGTCCTGTCGGTACAACCAGGACTCGCCGCGCACGTGGACCAAGGAGATGAACGAAACGGGAAAGATCGAGGATTTAGCAGACGAGTCATCGAATAATGGGCAGATGAGCGACACAGAGGACCTTCAAGATGACAAGAACGACCAAGAGATCAAAAAAGAAAAAATAATTCTCAGCACAGATTTTTGCACTTATCAATTGACCGATATAAAACCGATATCAGATCGCCACGATTCCACGGAAACTTTATCGAAATTATCGAAATCAAATTTAGGTAAGATGTTTTTTTTTTATTCTTTTCTAATCTTAACTTATATCTTTATTGTTTACCTATTTGCTTTATATTTTTCTTTTCTTACACAAACATCTCATTATAATAATTCTTTTTGACAGACGATAATAAAGATATGTCGGAATCCTGCCGCAATCTTAATATTGAAAACGAGACTTCAACACATTATGAGAATTGCAGTTCTCCCGAGCTGCAGATCGATGTCGATCGACATTACGAAATTCTCACATTTAAAACAGACACGTGCGGCGATACAACGAACAATCACTTGTACGAACCGGTCGATTGTCAGGAAGAAGTACGCGGTTCCTCTTACGACAACAGAAATAACTGCGTAAGAGAAAGTCTTTTGTCGTCAAAGTTAACAGCAATGGAAAAATCTAATCTTTCGGAAACTCCGAAAAGCCTCTTAATTAATTCGACCGTTCGGACTGTACCGATAACCGTCTCCAGAGATAGCGAAGGGCGCTGTTTGGAGAAAATTCTAATCAACGAGGAGACATTGAACAAAATAATCGTTCCCACGGTGAGCGCGGAGAACGGAATGAAGAGTACAGAGAGAATCGGAAATCGCTTCGCAAGCGTGGATCGTCCGGATGAAGTCATCGGGAATCGATCGAGCAATCGCGATCCGTCTACGAGGATCACGATTCGCGACAACCAGACTGATTGTATCAAGAAGGACGGTTCTTCCTCCAGGAACGTTTTTATCAAGACCAAACGTATGATATTCAGCCCGTTCCGCCGCTCGGAGGACCGGGCATCTTCGAGAAAGGAGAGCGACGGCTCCATCGAGGGTCGGCTTCAACGTTCGTCGAAATCCAAAAGCAAATCGAGATCGGCGTCGCCCAAACTGTGTCGACAGGACGCTTTATTGCGCGTATCCTTGTCTTTACCGTGGCCTCTACGCTCCACTTCCAAGGACAGCGAGATTCCCTTTGAAACTGACAATGAGTCCAGAAGGAGCTCAGGAAGCAAAACGGAAGATGTAGTCACGATACAGCATAAAAATTTGCCCCGCGAAGAAAATAGCGTGAATAATAAAAAAATCAACGATCGGCTAACCGAGGAAAAATCGCTGTCACCAATTGATGTAAAACAGAAAAAAATTAATCACTCGGACACAAAGTTTTTGACTGCGCCGATAAACATGTGTTTGTTTGGGACGACTTCTGCACGAATTTTTGATCGATCAAGAATAACGTCGATCGAGCAGGCTCGATGCAGTCAAACGCAGAACGATGAGGAACGCAGTAAAGTCAAGTGTAATCAAGTGAATTTTGAAGGAAAGCAAAGCGACGAAGAAAGATTCAGTCAAAAGCAAGACAAACGGAAGCAAGGAGAGATCGAATTCCGTCAAAAAGAGGACGAAGAGAGGCAGCAGGATGAAAGTCATGCGAAATGTGACGCGGTATCATCCGACTTGATGCACAAGCTTAGAATACTTTCGGATGCTGCGGCGAGAAGGGAGGGTCGAGCGACGGTTACGGAATCTCTCATAATCAGCGATCCGGAATCACGTTCCTCTAGGATACGTCGTGCCAAGGAGAGCTTCCTGTCGCGTCGAGGTGGTCCTTTCTGTCGCTCCATGATGGAGTCGACAGAAGCTGCGGATTCTTGGAGACGTCCAACGGTGACATCCACTCAGATATCGACTGAAACGTCGAAGGCGAATGAGATTACAATGATTACTGCGGAATCCGAAGAGACACAAAACGCGGGAAGTCAAGCGGAAATGGCATCGTTGATCGCGCAAGACGAAATCGCCTCTTTGAGCGGGGACAGAGTCGATGCGTGCCAGGAGAAAGATCTCGCGATCGATGCCGGTGTCCGATCGGAATCGCTCGTGAAATCGGCTAGCGCCGGTATGATCAACGTAGATCCTAATACATTCGGCCGACTGGTTACGACCGATCGCGGATGCGAGTCCTTGCCGAGGACGATCGCGAAGCGTCGCGACTCCTCCGGACCGCTGGCGAAGATCGTCAGCAAGCTGAGACTATCGCGGCTGATTCGCACCAGGAACGTCGACGGTGGCGGAATGAGCACAATCTCGACGTTATGTAGGCAGAGTTTGTTGATCGACTTGAGTGGCGTATCCGAAAATCGAGGGAACAACGAACATGAATCTGAGAAGGATACGGTTATAAAAGATAAAGATAAGGACGATGATCATTCAGATGAGTCTTCTTAAAATAATATATAAGCAAAGTTTTAATCACTATATTGCTTACGTAATATTTATGGATGTATCTGTAAATTTGTTAAATTTATTTCTTAAATTTGTTTTAGTCTTGCAGCAACGAGAAGGTAATCTTGAGTAACAGACAAATTTTTTCTCATTTTTACCGATCGGATGTCGATGTTTTAGTTAATTTATTAATTAACAAAAATCTAAAAGCACTAATAATAAATATATAAGCATTGAAAGTAAACAATTTCTCGCAAACTACGCTTTCAGACTCGTTAATAAATAATACATTAATAAATAATATGACACGATTTTTATATTCATAACACAATTCATTATGACAAAATCACGTAGAATTAGAATAAAAAGCAATTTAAAAAAAAAATTAATGTAATTTTACAACTTCTCATCCATGTAAATGCGAATCTCATGCAGGATTTGTCATGAGAAACTCGTGAGCAGATTCGTACCTTTGAAAGAAACGCGACTTCGAGATAGATTACTCTAAGTCGTGCTTTCTTTCTTTTTTTTTTTTAACAATTACTCGCGCAAACACCGTGTCCCCGCGCGCAACGAATGGCAAACACAATGACGGACGGTTACGAGTCCGGCCGGTGTTTGATTAAACGGGATTAATGTCCCCGGGGCGATCTCGAGTGGCGAAGGGAGAGCGTGCGCGTGTCGCGAGCGCGTGCCTCCCCGAAGTCGCCACGACTCGATTCTCTCATCCCTTTCGCCGTCCCACGTGCGTTCCGCCCTGTTTCCGACCGAAGGACCTTTCCGCGTGGAACGGAGCGAGGATCGTCGAACCGTCGCTCAATCGCATTTAAGCGGATTTCAATCGGCCTCGAAACGATCGTGCAAACAAACCGCTCGACCGGCGTCAGCGACTTGCTTTTGGTGCGCGCATTGTATATAGCGTAACGTCGATTGACGACGAGAGTGCCATGGGAAGGATGTTGATCTCCGACGAAACGATATCCCTCGGGACGTCGAGGGATGCAAACTCACGTTTACGTTCCGTCGAGCTTTAATTTCCCTCTATCCGATAAAAGTAATATGTTCTCTCAATTTTCTTCCGCATATCGTGACGAAATATTTATTGCTATATTTCATTATTGTTAGACAATTTACAATTCGCAACAAAAACAGAAAACAGAATTCAATTTATAATTTTATATATCGTTTAATATGAAAATATTTGAAACAAAATCTATTTCAAACATATATCAGAATACGCAAATATATAATAATATACGGCATGTAAAATTATGAATAGAGTCCCGTCCTAATTTTGGACGTGAAGTTGGATTATAGATTTTCTAAAGTAAACTTGATATAAAAATTTAAAAAATAATTCTGCTATATAGAAATGTGAATTTTTTATTATACAATATTTAAAGAGAAAAGTATATTCACTGCAAAAATATTTTTTTCAAATATGATCGGACAGCATTGTATCCGCATGGTTCCCTTCCGCATTCAGAGATAATCGAGGACATTAAGAAAACCACAAGATATTGTATCTGCTAGGGCGAGACTGAGTACATGGCTATACAAGCGTGTTGGGAAAAACGTTCGCGCAGGTACAGGATCCTTCGCCGATTTACGATTTGAGACGCGCGAGACACACAGGATCATCGACGCGCGGCACAATGGGCGGTCGTGTTGCTCGTTGCCTTCTCCAGGATCGAGCTGTCCGTCTACCTGCGTCTATAATCCGGAAGCGTTCGCGGGAGCACGCATGCAGGCGCGTCGAGAAGATATTAATGTCGTGGGACCCCGCGCGATGATCGTATACGAAACATCGCTCCGGATTTCTTCTCCATTCTTCTTAGACAATGCTCGCGATCGACTTCCGTCAGACCACCTGGATGGAACTATATACGTATGCGGTAATATTTTCAAATATTCTTATATGTGTATGCGCGATACCGAGATTAAACAATAAAGAATTACATTTAAATCGATATGTTGCGATTAAGATTTTTATTACGCATAGAAATTTCGAGCGAATCGTGTATTTATTTAGAGGACGACGCTTACCGACTTTTGCCTGCGATCGAGATATTTGTTTCCTCTCATTTCATCGCGTCTTGTAAAATAAAAATATTCTTTGCCTCAGAAGAACCTCTCGAACGAGTTCATCGAATGCATTATACAGCAGAATTGAATTTGAACGAGCGGAGGCACGTTGATCGCGCGAGCGAAAAGCGACTGATTTATGACGGCAGTCCGCGCTCCGAGTAATTCCGTTGCGACGGGTGCATAAGTAGACGCATACGGTATTTATCTTCCCCACGTGGCCGAATTTTATTTTGTCATGTGTCTAGAGAGAGAAATGCTTCTCCAATAAAATATGTATCCACTAAAAATATTCAATTATCCAATTTTTTAAAGTCATAGGGAAAATATTCTGAAAAACTTTAAAGATCAAATAATGCAATTAATTTAGAATGTGAATATATATGGAAGTTTTGTGAGTGGTATATATGTCTAGATCTCTATTTCGACATTTTGCTAATATTTATGTTTTTAAATTAAAACTCTCGGAATTATATCATGGAAATATTATCGATGAGAAATGTAAATTAAAGTTATTTTTAAGTGTCCTTTAACGCAACATCTCTGACTGAATTAGAATCACCAAAAGTGGAAATATATATTTTCTTCAACTTCTTGAAAAAAATAAAAAAATAAACCGAAACCCATTCTTTTCTTCTAAAGTCTTCAATTAAAATGAAGATGAGATGCCGGAGTGACTTAAGAAGCTGTCCCGCGTTGTTCGAATGTTGACACGACGAAACGCATATTTCCGTCACTGTCGCGATCCTCCGATTCCGGTGTGCGTATCCTCTCGTTCATAAATTACCATTCAGTCCGTTCCCGGCTTTGCCTGCGAAGAAGAGGGGTAAGGGAATGAGGACGACGACGACGACGACGACGACGACGACGACGACGACGACGACGACGACGAGAAAGTACAGGTGCTGCGGACGCAGACGAGGGCTGTTGAATGCGCGGCCACCACCGACAAATTTCGACCGGCCGATCGCAGTTATCGCTCGATCCGGTCGCGAGATTGCATTATCCCGATGCTTATAATGCGTTACGTTACTCGACCCCCTTCATCCTCGCCGATCCCGAGCGATGCAGTAGCATCGGGGACCGAAATATTCGGCTGCGTATGCGTACGCGCGTTAGACCGTTTCTCAAATAAAGCAATCTCCAAGATCAGAGACAACGACGCGGCGGCATTTATCCTTTTATCCCTCCCCTTTCCTCTCCACTCCTGCCAGCGCAACCCTTCCCGCCAGATCGCGAAAGTAGCCACAGCAGCGCAGCCGGACTCCTCTTTGTCAGAAACGGAGCCTGCTGACAGAGCGAAGGTGGTTAGTCGACTCGGCAGAATTAATCGCCTCGGGAAATATTTACGTTCTCTCGTCCAAAAGGGCCCCATCGCCTGTCTCTCCCTCCTTTACAAAGATCTTCGGATCCCTTGGTATTCCTCCTCCACTATGTGAAGACCTTCGCGGTTGGATCCAGTCGCGCGGATCTCAGATCGGCGCTTCTGCGACGACCACTTACGGTAGTTTGATCTTATCTCGGTGCCGGAGGCAAAGAAAAGTTAAGTGCCACGCGACACGCATGTAAAACATGTTGAAGTAGAACCAGTGTTCTTTATAGATATTAATTGATAATATTTCCGTCATTAGATCGTTTGAATGATCGATTACATTTTGAAAATCAAGCCAAATGTGTTAAGATAATATTAATTTAAAATTCTTTGGCATTTTCAAAATTAAAAAAAAAAAAATAAAAGTTTGTGATATACATATGTATATATATCAAATTATTAAACATAAAATTTAATTATCTAAGATTCTCTTAATTTACACACAATAAAATATATATAGGAGATATTAAAAAATATTTTTATTGCCGGCAACGTGATACAGCGATTGGTAACGTAATACGCAATTCTTTGAGAAAGATCGAGATGTTGTTATACAAGTTAGCACTTGGGATCTACTTTTCTCGCCATTCTGGTTGAAAAGAATGCTCGTGAACCTGGCGGTTTGCACATGGAAGTTTGTTTTATTCCTAAACAACGCTAAATGCGAAAGGGCGGAGGCACTATTATAAGTCTATTGTCACTGGAACACGGTTTATGATTCTTCGACAGTATTTATTTAGATGCCGTACTTCTTCCTTCGTCATTGCCTCAAAGAATGTCATATTTATCTAACTTCTGTGGCATCTGGAAGATCACATTCATATATAAAATTTAGAGAAACAGCTCCTTATGAAAATAAAATAAACCACTTCTTCTTATCTATTATGATTACATAAAGCTCCGCTGCGCATATTAATCTGGGTTATTACGTTCATTAATTGCAATTTGATTACAATTAATTGTAATTTGACAGATGACGAAAAAAGCATGTTACGATAATTCGTCATCTCAATCATTCCCATATAGTTCCAAGAGATATTCTTTAAGAATTCCGGAAAATCGTAATCGTGCAGAGTTTACTCCGGAACACTGCGAGATTTATGCCATAATTTACTGACAACAATAGCTACAGATGAAATATAAACGTGCAACCTCAATAAATACTCTCGCTGACATCTTTTACAACTCGTTATATCATATCGCTATACTTTACTTCTTGTCAAGTCATTACTTACATTTTACTTATACAACGTTTGTAAAAAAACAAAAAATTTTCACAAAGAAACATTACTTTCCTAATTACATAATAATGATTGTTCTGACAACGAGTTTTATTAAAAATTCTTTAAATTCTTTAAATTCTTTTAATTGATTCTATGTAAATACACTATTAAAATAATTGCAAAATGAAAATTTTATTTAGCAATTATTAAAGAGATTGGACAAAAATATATAAGATGTAAGGAGGGCGAGAAGGAAGGAAGAGAAGGAGTCATCGCTGAAGGAAAGAAGTCTGGAGGTTCTTCTCAAATTGCGATGAAACCGGGCACCGCCGCGTCGCGCGGGTTTCGTATAACGAACGGACCACCGATGGCGGTGCTGCTCGTCTTTCTCTCTTTCGCTTCTTCAATGAATATCCATCGATTCCGACTAGCAAATTCTTACTTCAAGGAGTTGCGTGTACGCATGAAAAGTAGACCGGCAATCGCGACATTTGATAAATGCGCACGATGAAAGGTGATGAGAATAAAGGATCGGAGACTTGAAAAAAAAAAAAGATGTTGATTCGTCAAATTTATCGTCGCAACAATTTTCAAAAAGGCATGGAATGTTTTAATAAAAAGTGTGAAGTTATTTGT